AGAGAGAGAGAGAGAGAGAGAGAGAGAGAGAGAGAGAGAGAGAGAGAGAGAGAGAGAGAGAGAGAGAGAGAGAGAGAGAGAGAGAGAATGTGTGTAGCAGCGCAACAGTTTTTACTTTTTTTTAAAGGAAGCTGGAGTTTTATTATATAAAAATCATGAGGCCGGGAATTCCTCAACATCTCAACCCGGATAGTGCTGGGGCCGTTAAAAGGGGAAATTAAAGAAAGAAAAACTAAGCCGATTTCCTAAAACCTGAGAATCCTGTAAGTCGATGTCAAGCTTCCTTAAACCCTAAACCCTAATGCCTTCTTCTTTTTCCTCCAAAAAAAACTGAACTTGTTTCCTCCAGGTCAGCCCGGGTTTGAAGTCAGGCCAGGGCTAGGGCCTCCCTTGATTCGCCAGAATCTGAAGAGGTAGTTGCCCTCTGATGGCCGTCGCCCCGGTGGCCCCGCTGGTGTCCCCAAGTGAGCCCGAGTGTGTCACACAGTATGGTCCTGTTTCTTGGTGGGGTCGTATGTGATCTGCTTCCTTGCTGTGCGCCAGTCAGAATGATACTCTGTTAGCAGGGTGTGGATTAGGCCTTCCCATGCTTCCGCAAGCGGTGTTGTTTGTGCTGCAATTGTCTCCTTGCAGGGTGGAGTCTTCAGTAGAGTGTGTGTTGCCTCTTCTCCTGCATCCCTGGTTCTTTGCGGCCAGTGAGTGTGGCAACCGGGCTTGCTGAGCCACTGGTTGACTGCAAGAGCGTGGTAGTAGATCAGCCACTGCATGCTTTGGACCCTGCTATTTCAAATGGGCAGTGACACATGCCAGGAGATGTTGGTCTGCCTCCCCAGGCCCCCGGTGAGCTGCTTTTCCCAGCGCTGTGTCAGAGTTTGCTGCTTCGTCTCAGTTTTTAGCCCAACCTTGTGGTGCAATCCAGGATGCTGATCCGACGCTCAACTTTTGCTGTGGCAGTAGTCATCTTCCACGCGCATTCTGCCGGTCGTTTTCATAAAATGTAATGACCCGCCAAAAACACAGACTGAGAACACTGCTGATTTCTGGGATTTGCCACTGGAATGGATGCCTTGCTGTGATTCCCGCATTCTGCTGTGGTTTCCAAGTCTGTGTGTGTGTGCGTGCCTGCTGGTTTGCATGCCTGTCTGAGTGCTTGTCGGTTGAGTGTGTGTGTGACCCGCAAGGGCACTTGTTGGTTGCAAGGCCCCGCAGGGTCGGTACTTACCTGTGGCCGTGACTTTGAGGGTTGCAGGGGGGTAAACACTCAAGTAGCGGGGGTAGGCCCGCGGCACTTAGAGCAGCGGGGAAAAAACACTCAAGTAGCAGGTAGGCCGGTACCACTCGAGTAGTGGTAGGAGTGTTGGGTACTGGAGGCCGAGCAGAAGAAGACAAAAAGTTGGCATTTTTAGAGGCCCAGTAGCGGTAGGATAGAGGTAGGCCGGTACCAGTCCAAGTAGCCCGGGTCTAGGGCCTGTCTGGAGGTTAGCAGAGCCTGCAATGATGTTCCCTCCGAAAGGGAGGAGGTACCGGTTGCTGGGAGGCCGCTCGGCCTAGGAAGTCACCGCCCAGGAGGCCAGTAGGCCGCTATATCTTTCGGAGGAGCAAGTAGCTCCTCCTCATTTGCGGTATGCAAGGATTGGCGACATGCTGCTGGAGCACAGCGCTGCTTGGAGGTGAAGGGCAGCTGGCGCTCAGCCTGGCTATGGCGAGCAGCCCAGCTTGAGGAGGAGGGAGAAGGGGGCTAAGGAGGAGAGTGGCGAGGCACCTACCTGGCTATGGTGGACACCGTCTTCATCACCGTGTTGGAAGCTGCATCTGGAAGGCCCCAGTTGGGGTAGTGCCGCACCAAGGAAGCTCGAGGCAGAGTCAGTCATGGCGGACCAGTCAGCAGCATCATAGCTGCTTTGGGTTGTCCTTTGGACAGGAGTGCAGCACCATAGCTGCTTTGGGTTGTCCTTTGGACAGGAGGGCAGGGCCCTCAGTAGTCCGCCATAGCCTATGCATGAGAGAGGAGGCAGAAGGAGGGAAGCCATAGCTGTGGTGGACTTGTTGTTGTTGTTGTTGTTGTTGTTGTTGTTGTTGTGTCAGCAGTAAGAGGGAACTTCGGATATTGATTCTGGTTCATCCATTCATTGTTATTATTATTATTGAGAGAAGAATAAGATTGGCGAAGTGAAGGAGGAGGAGGAAGGTGGAGAGAGAAGGGGGAATTGTCATTGGTCTTGCTGGTGTACATCTTCTTCTTCTTCTTCTTCTTCTTCTTCTTCTTCTTCTTTCTCTCTTCTCTGGTCTCTATCTCTTTGCAAGTGCTTTCATTTCTTTCACAATTGGGTGGCATTGTCTTTCATTGTGAATTTGCACTTTGGAAATGACCAGGATCGTAACAAAAATCTTTGAGCAGAGGCCATGCGAATCTTCTCTGCGTAAAAAAATAAAAATCCTCTGTATTGTTCCAATTTAAATATAATGTACCTGACCGGCAGAATAAGGTATGGACGCTGTACACACAGGAGAGAGAGAGAGAGAGAGAGAGAGAGAGAGAGAGAGAGAGAGAGAGAGAG